TCTATGACCTTCTTCGACGGTTGAAGTCGTCTAATTGGATAGTTGGTATATAATACGGAGGAGGGATTACAATGTGCATGAGCATGGCGAGGGCGTTTAGTGGTGGAGATCTTTTGTACTCTTTTTGCATAATGATAGCGATTCCAAGCGATTCTTCATACATTGAGAATATATTAAACTTTCTTAGCATTTTCTCACGCATAACTGTTCATTGATACATCATAGTCACGTTGGCAGAAAGTGACTGTACTGTATGTGTGAACATATCACCATGCATATCTGGAGCAATGTACGTGGGGGATCCTCAGTCATGGTGCAAGCCCACAACATCAGATCTAGTGAATTTCTATCCAGGATGCATTCACGCCGTGTCCCTTGAGGTGCACAGCGTCGAAAGCTCCTTGCGTGCGTCCGAGACAATGGCATGTCCGGTGGCGTTTTTGATTCAACCGCATAAAGGAGAACGCCATGTGAGTGCCATACTTACCTGCTGAACGATGATGCTACCAAATACTCCCACCAAGACCATAATATACAAGACATGCTTCACGCATTACAGGTACAGCGACTGAGCTGCGACCAGATCCCTGCGGACGAGTTCAAGTGCTGCCGTGAACTTTTGCTCAAGTTCCTCGCTTCCCATGACCTTGGAGGCCTGGGCCATTTGTCGAAGTAACTCTTCTAATCGTCTGAACAGACGAATTAGACTTCCCTCGTACACGTCTGTCATTTTGCTGTCTAGTGTTAGTTGTCGTCAAATGCGACAGAAACAAAGCGGACATACCAAATCTGTGCGAATGTCGCACCCTTTGACCAGGCGTAGACGACCTCCATCAGCTCATACTTGAACGACTTGAGGTACTCTTCCTCGTTGACTGTCAGCTTGCTCTCTTGAGACATCTTCGCGATAACCCTAGCTTGCTGCTGGATCTCGCGGTATGGCTTGGCAAGCTCTTCTTTGAGCGCTGGTACTTCTTGCGTCTTCTCCTCGAATATGAAACAACTAAGACAAGCGACGCACTGCTCTGGCGTCAGCTCATTAAAGAAACGGTTAAAGAGCAGCTCGCTAAGCACGAGCTCATCACCGGTGCTGATCTCGCAAGCGACACGGGCCTTGAGCTGCACGACGTCGGCTTCGTCGATGAAGCCGAGGCGCCGCAGCACACGTTTCCTGCTCTTCAATTCGTCTAATTGAATGACCGACAGAGCGTTCGCAATCTCTTTCCTGATACTCTTGATCTTCTCACCAATCGCAATCTTCTGCGCGTACTGGCTGTACAATTCGGGTAGCCTAGGCGAGTTGTGAAGAGGGTTCGAGAGAAGACGGGACTCTAGCACTTCGATTTTCTGCAAAACGTTAGATAAGAATGCGAAATCTTGATAGTGAAGCTTACCCTTAGCAGCCTCTTGAAGCTGTCATCCTTGATGTTCATGTTCTCAATGGGATCCAAAATAGCAATTCCATCAGGGAAGCGCTTCTTGACCTCGTTCAATGCCTTGCGAACGTTATTCCGTTGCTCTGTCGACTTGAGCTCGTTGGGGAGGAAGACTCGGAGATGACCAATTGATTCGATGCAGTTCAGAACCACAGGGACAACCTCCATCTTGCCCTTGTCCCCTGTCGCAGGTGGGCGCACACCAGGCGGTAGCCCGTCATTTGCCGCTGGTACGAACTTGGTGTCGCTGCTGACCGGTAGTAGAACGTCGACAATGTAGGATTCTTGAGGTGGAAGAACTTCGCCCTTGTTAGCCTTGCGAGCAGTGTACGCTACCACAGCACCCCAGCCAAAGTCATAGTCCTTGAACTTGATCTTGACTAAGCGGCCACCCTGCAGGAACTGCAAGCAGTAGTTCGGCTGCATGATCACGTCACGCATGTCCTTGGTATGGGTGTCCAATTGCTGTCGCAGGTTGTAGTAGTCTTTGATGGCTAGCTCATCGACGACGTTAGTGTTCGCCTTTTCTTCTTCAAGCTTCGCAAGTTGCTTCTCCAGATTGGAGACACCTGCCGTGCTCTGGAACTGGAAGAAACACCTCTCCAGCATGAATTCGGGGGAGATGCCTTCCACTCGCATGAGGTTGAGAATCATGTTGTATCCCAAATGGAAAGCTGAGTTGAGGTTATCCTGTTGACCGCGGACAATCTCCTTAGCCACAGCAGGCTCCATCTGCTCGCCAATCATCATGATGACAATACCACGGTCATCAAGACCACGACGTCCAGCTCGACCAGACATCTGGATGAACTCAGAAGGCGTGACCCATCGCTGCGATACTCCGTCAAACTTGCGCACACTGGTGAACACGACTGTCTTGGCCGGCATGTTCAATCCGATGGAGAAGGTTTCGGTCGCGAAGAGAACCTTGATCAGCCCTTCCTGGAACAAGATTTCGATGGTCTCCTTCAAGATAGGCAGAAGACCGGAGTGATGAACACCGATGCCTCTCCGGAGAAGGGGGAGAATGTGCTGAATTTGGGGTAGTTGTCGGTCCTCCTCTGACAACATCTCGATGGCGCTGTTGAAGACCTTGGTCACCATGGCCTTTTCGGAATCGTCGTTGAACGCGAGCGAGCTCATGGAGAGCGCGTAGTTCTCGCATTCCCTTTTGCTAAAACTGAAGACGATGACCGGATTGTAGCTCTTGACCATGATCATCTTGACAATCTTGTAGATATCCGTCTGGTCCTTGTTTCCGCCCGTGTTGGTCTTCTTGTCCTTGCCCTTGCCTTTGCGCTTCGCCATGAAGTCCTTGGCCTCGCTTCCGCCCTTGTCCGCAATGGAAGACATGGCTTTCTGGAAGTTCTCTTCGCGGAACACACCCTTTTCATCTACCACCAAATGTATACCGTCGGCACCAGCGGGGAAGAAATAGTGTTGTAGCGGCGTCGGACGGAAATCGGTGTAGACGACGTGGCACGGCTGGCTATGGGTTTTGGTGATCCATTCGGCGAACTGCATGGCGTTGGGAATGGTGGCGGAGAGGAAGACGTAGCGGACCTTGTCTGGCAGAAGAATGATAGTCTCTTCCCAGACGACACCTCTTGACTTGTCGCGCAGGTAGTGAACTTCGTCGAACACGACCCAAGCTACTTCGCGCATAATCTCGGAACCTCTGTACAGCATAGAGCGCAGAATCTGGATATGTTAGTCTTCATCATCCTCCAAAGCGTTGCGTACATACCTCCGTCGTCATGACCAGACAGGTTGCAGTGGGGTTGATGGTGACATCACCAGTCATCAGACCGACGTCGCCAAACTCTGCCATGAACTCTCGGTACTTCTGGTTGCTAAGCGCCTTGATGGGACTGGTGTAGATGACTCGCTGGTTGTTCTTGAGACATTGCGCGATGGCGTATTCTGCCACAACTGTCTTTCCGGCAGAGGTATGCGCTGACACCAGAACACTTTCGTTTCGCTGTATCGAGGCGATGGAGACCTGCTGGAAGGGATCCAGGGTAAAAGGCCACTCGCGCGCGGGCTCTGCGGGGGCCTTGTGCTCAGAGATGGGGACGTAGTCGTAGTCCGGAGGGAGCGCGACTTGATGGCGGACTTGATGCGAAAGCACCACTGCCTGACCCTCTTGCGACTGCGCTTGAAGACCCGCTGCGGCAGCCATTTCGCGCGTCTGCTCTGTCTCGAAATCGTCGGTAACTATAGGCTCGGGCTCATCGCGCTTCTGCTTCTTCTTCAGAGCCTGCGCGCTACTGCTTTCGTTCGGGGCTTCAGATGACTCTGCAGGCGCATCCGCCATGGCAGTGTCAGCGACGGGTTCAGGCGACTTGACGGTGCCATTCGCCTGGCGCTTCTTGTTCTTCCGGGGCGCCGTGTCCGTGGACGGGCCGCCCTCAAAGACGTCGAACATGTCGTCGTCCATGGTGGGTGGTTGGTTTCACTCTGTGCGCGGTTGAGTGCGTTTGTTTCGTGGGGTTGCGTGGTGGACCAGACAGGCAGTTTTGACCTGTCGCGAAAGATTATCGAAGGCGAGCGCAACGGCGATCGAGAAACTTTGATGGGCCTTACTAAGCGGGTCATTGCCAAGACATGGCAGCCGTGGAAGCTGCAACTCATCGAACCACCGCGACCAGAACTCCACAACCTCTCCACTCTACAACACAGACAAGGTACGCCCCAACTCGACGCCAATTGCAACACCAGCTGACTTCCGAAGATGCTCGCCCGTGCTACCTTCCGCGCCGCCTCGGCCCCAACTCTCGTCGCCCGCCGCGGCTTCCAGTCCACCCGCGCCCAGTTCGCCAGCCCATACCACTATCCCGAGGGCCCGCGCAGCAACTTGCCATTTGACCCACTGAAGAAGGGCTTCGCCTTCAAGTACTGGGGATTCATGGGTACGCACTGGCGCGTCGCAATCGCTGGGTAGTGCTAACATTCGCAGCCACCGGATTCTCCCTGCCATTCCTCCTTGCTGGTGAGGCGCCCGACTCACTGATATCTACTATGAGAACACATCTAACAAAATCCCTACAACAGTCTGGCAGACAAAGAAGAACAAATAGATGCAGTCATTCGGAACGTGGGCACGATACTGGACTATGGGAAGGGCACGGGATTTGTAGAATATCGGAGGGTCGCTCGGAGACCTGTATAGACATCACAGCATCAATTTCATTGTCTGTCTTCCACCATGATCCAATGCATGCAGATTGCAAGTCCTAATGATACTTATTGTATACCTCGGTGGGCAAGAGCCGTCTCTTCAACTTCGAAATGAGTTACTGCAATATTATTCTGCCATGAACCAGCACTGTTGAGGAGTACCATTTTCTGCCCAAACAGGAACCAGGGGATGGACGGTGGGCGAACGTGGTTCAATTGCAACACCTTGATGACGATGAGATGCGTTGCGTTACCCTTCGGTAGAAGCTCGGCGCTAGCATCACCAAAAATTCGGAAGCGCGATTCTGCCAACGGGGCTAGTGACCAGTCATTCGAGCAACAGGACGCAACATTGCCACGAACACAGTCCATGATTCTTCGGCAATGCGAAACCTCAAGATTGTAGCAAGATCGCTCCTGCGATTTTCCGGAGACGAGCCACTACCGTTAACGGCGACTGCATGGGACGCCGCATCAAATGCGCTGGTATGCGCCTTCGGCCCTTCGGAATCACGTGCGACCATCGAACTCAAGAGACTGCATCATACTCGCAACGGTGTCGAGGAAAAGCTTGAAAGCATCGCATCGTGGGATGCGCCATGCCCGCTGCCCTCGCTTACCCATGACTCAATCTTGAGCCTGCACCATTTCGCCGACACTTCGACATCATGTTTGATTCTGGCCGGAGGAGACATCGTGCTCGTGCGAGAGGACCCATCATCTACAGAAGAGCTAGTTGAGATCGTGGGCTCAGTCGATGCCGGTATCTCTGCTGCGGCGTGGTCACCAGATGAAGAACTTCTCGCCATCACCACACAGGCGGACACTTTACTATTGATGAGCCGCGATATCGAAAACATTGCGAGTATCAATCTCACCCCCGAAGATGTCAACGTCTCCAGTCATGTCTCTGTGGGTTGGGGAAAGAAAGAGACACAGTTCAAGGGCAAACGAGCCAGAGCACTGCAAGATCCAACAGTGCCAGAAAGTATCGACGAGGGTGTACTGAGCCCATTCGACGATCGCTCTGTCACGATAAGCTGGAGAGGTGACGGCGCATGGTTTGCAGTAAGCAAGGTCGAGGAAGAACGCCGTCGCATGATCCGCGTCTACTCCCGGGAAGGACAGCTGGACAGTGTGAGCGAGCCCGTGGACGGCCTTGAAGGAGCTCTCAGTTGGCGACCATCAGGTAATCTGATTGCGAGTACCCGTCGCACCGAAGATAAGATTGAAGTGGTGTTCTTCGAGCGCAATGGTCTTCGCCACGGCCAATTCGATCTTCGATTTACCCCGGAAGAGCTTGCAGCCCTCTCGATTCCGTTAACACTCAAGTGGAATAGCGATTCCAACGTGTTAGCTGTATCATATCCTGGCAAAGTACAACTTTGGACGATGAGTAATTACCACTACTATCTCAAGCAAGAACTTCGATTTCCGGACGCTGGTCCTCGAACAGTCATATGTAGCTGGCATGCTGAGCGTCCGCTTGTAGTAGCTTTGTCAACTCCAGGTAAGTTGGCCCTCGTCAACGCAAGGTTAATATAACTAAGTTCAGTTCAGATGCGCTTCAAGTGCTTGAGTACGCGTCCACAATTTCGGCCGGCTCAGTCGCCCCGCCGAACGATTTTGGCATGGTCGCATCAATAGATGGATGTGAGTGATGCACTTTATATGCGTGATTTTTTCGATACTAATTACTGCAAGTATCCCTGAAACTCACACCACTTCGCATCGCGAATGTGCCACCTCCCATGTCACTTCACACTCTGGGTCTCGACTCAAAACCAATGGACGTAGCGCTTTCAAAATCTGGCAATCGCTTGGCAGTGCTCTCCGACAGCGACCTTGCTGTGTATGCTCTCGATCTCAACAAGCGGCCTATACCCAAGCCTAGTCTCCTCTGGCGCAGTGATGCGATAAGTCATGGCTCACCACGCCACGTCACGTTCTTTGGTGAGGATCAGATCTTCGTACTAGCAGACAGCTGGGACGAAGAGGAAAGCTCGCTCTGGCAGTCCGAAGGCGATGTGCTACTACCCCAAGGACACATAATGGAGACCGAGAACGTGTCCCTACTTTTGTCCAACGTTCATCAAGAAACGCCGTACATCGAGTTTCAAAATGGTGCCCTCCATCAGGTCGTTGTAGATGAGCTGAGATCGGATTGTGCTCCCCTGACGCCTTTCGTGCATAGGTTTCCTTCATTTGCGCTCGAGGTTCAAGTGATCGATGTTGAAGGCCAGGTACGCAAACATACTCCCCGCGACGTCGTATCAGCTAGCTAACATGGCCAGACATTGGCATTTGGATTAACAAAGAGTGGAGTACTATACGCTAACGAGCGCATTCTGGTCCGCAACTGCACGTCTTTCGTGATTACCACTGCGCATCTCATTTTCACGACGACACAACATTTACTCAAGTTTGTGCATCTTGCAAGTGCAGATGGTAAGTCCAACTTGCATCATGAGACTAGACGCATGTACTGACATGTACTAGAACTCGAGGTACCCGCAGACGAGCCACAAAAGGATGAGAGATGCAGGAGCATCGAAAGAGGAGCAAAGATCGTTACTGTGATGCCTACGACATACTCAGTCGTGTTGCAGATGCCAAGAGGTAATCTTGAGACGATCTATCCGCGAGCGCTTGTGCTTGCTGCCATCCGTCGCAACATTGAGGCAGAGCGTTACGATGAAGCCTTCTTTGCTTGTCGTAATCAGCGCGTCGATCTCAACATACTTCATGACCACGATCCGGAGCGGTTCATGGCGAGCCTGGAGAAGATTATTTCACAGATCAAAAAGATCGAACATATTGACTTGCTCCTGGCGCAGCTCCGGTAAGCGATTAACCATGCATCTTAGAACATGGTTGCTAACTATTCAAGTAACGAGGACGTGTCGGAGACCATGTACAAGGAAACGTTGAAGACGAAAGATCTGGCTACGAAGCCAAAGCTCTCCCTAGACCAAGTCGAGAACAAAGTAAACCGGATATGCGACGCTTTCCTGGCCGTGTTAGAGAAGTCTCAGTATAAAGACGCGCACCTGCAAAACATCATCACAGCCCATGTTTCCAAGACACCACCAGCTCTGGAAACAGGTCTTGCTATGATAGGTCGCCTACAAGGTAAGTCTTATACATTTGCGTTTTCCGCATTTCTAACATGTCACAGCATCTAGCGATCCCCTCACTGAGAAGGCTGCCGAACACATATGCTTCCTTGCAGACGTCAACCAACTATACGACACATCTTTGGGACTGTACAACCTTGACCTCGCCCTGCTCATCGCTCAACAGTCACAAAAGGTATGCTGATCGAATACATGGGTCTCATTAGTAGCTGACCCTCAATAGGATCCGCGAGAGTATCTGCCACACTTGCAATCTCTACAAGATCTGTCCGAAACTCGTCGCAAGTTCAAGATTGACGACCAGCTCGGAAGAAGAGCGAAAGCGCTCATGCATCTCAAGGATCTTCAGGCCTACGATGAGGTACAAGACTATGTGCAAAAGCATGATCTCTACCCTGAAGCCTTGAGCATGTACCAATACGACAGCACCCGTCTGAAGGAAATCATGAGGTTGTACGCAGACTTCTTGAGTACTAACAACAAGAACAAAGAAGCTGCATTGGCGTACGAATACCTCAACGATCATGCCTCCGCTTGGCCATGCTACCGTTCAGCCAACCTCTGGCGTGAGGCTTTGTCGTCTGCTATTCTCGCCGACGTAAGCGCGGATGAACTCTCAAGCATTGCGACAGATCTTGCAGAAGGTCTCACAGAATCCAAAGACTACCTGTCAGCTTCATCAATAACACTCGACTACCTCTCCGACCTTGCGTCCGCGGCACGTCTCTTATGCCGAGGCTGCCATTTCGCCGAAGCAATTCGCATCGTCACACTCCGACGCGAGCCCAGCCTCATCACCGAAGTCATCGACCCCGGCCTCGTCGAGCGCAGCGCAGACATGACAGAGTTCCTCGCCGACATGAAGGGTCAACTGCAAGCACAAGTACCTCGACTCAAGGAACTCAGGGCCAAGAAAGCAGAGGATCCGCTGGCATTCTACGAAGGCATGATCGACGGTCCTGCCGATGCCAACATTCCCGACAATATTTCTCTGGCGCCCACAGATACAACGAGTGGTGGCACGTTCATGACCAGGTACACAAACCAGACTGGTACCGTGAACACAACAACTACGCGCAAGACAAGCAAGAACAAGCGGAGAGAAGAGAGGAAGCGTGCGCGCGGTAAGAAGGGTACAGTATACGAAGAAGAGTATCTTACCAACTCCATCGAACGCCTCATAGAGCGCATCAACAGCATGCAAGAAGAAATCCAACGTCTTGTTGAGGGTTTAGTCAGACGGGGTATGAGAGAGCGTGCTGATGCTGTGTCCAACGCTGTCAACGAGGTCATGGAACGGTGTCAAGATGCTATCAAGGAGATGTATCCACCTGTGGCTGCAGGGAGCTCGGAAGGTATCAATGGGGCACCGATTGGAGTTGAGGGCGAGGCGATGAAGCCTACGGGCGGGGATGCGACTTTATGGGATAGCTTGCAGGAGGTTGGAAAGAAGAGGGAGGCGCCTGTCGTGAAGATGTTTGAGAGGCTTAGCCTTTTGGGATAGGCAGGCTGTGGTCTTTCAAAGTAGACATGCTTGAGACTCCTGAAGCTACAATTCTATGTGTCTCAGAAGATGCTACTTGGACGGTGTTGCGCGGGTGTCATTACCCCTGATAGTGAATCCATGGCGGATGGATGACATAACTAGCGTCTGTTGTGCATCTCCGGCAGTCGCGTCATTACTCCTCGAATGCATGCTCACACCAAATACGCGTCAACACCACGCGTATCAAAGCCTGCTTCGCGATTTTTTGCCCAGGCGCAACCATGCGAGCCGAATGTGCAGCTGGAAACCACGCTTTTGTTCATTTATGCTATACTGACGTTTGCAAACCCGTAATCGATCTGCCATGATACGACCTCCCGTGCCCGGTACGAACGCGCCGACGCCCTGCCAGACCATGATCGTCCGCCCTATCTGAAGCCGTGCATCTAGCTCTCCAAATCACAGACCTTAACACCTTGCTCCGCGCAAGCGACTTGGAAATCGAACAGCGCCTTCGCACCGCCCTCGTCCTCCTCCGCAATCTCAGTCTCCACGAGAATCTTCCACTGCTCGCGGCCAGAATGCTTGCCTATCGTAGCCACCAGTCGCTGCAGGCTGCGTACTATACCTTTCGCGAGCTTGTCGTGGTCTGGCTCGTGGGTGTCGGAATGGAAGAACAACCAGTCGAGATATTCTCCATACCGCCTATCTAGCTGAGACTTCTCGTTGAAAGGGAGCATTTGCTGGAAGAAGCTGCCGAGGTTCAGGTGTACCGATTTCGAAGCGACGTGGTCCTTGTCTTGCTCCTTGCACAGCAGTGTTACGATGCATACCAGACGATCGATAAAGGCGTACGGATTGCCATATTCCAGGAGTTCTTCAGAGAGATGGATCTTGATGATACGAAACTGGTTGGCTGTCTTCCAGATTGCGCTCTTGCATGTAGTGGGCTTCCTGTAGCCGATCACCTTGCGGAGAGTACGCGGGCGGGGGACGGTGGTGTAGTACTTGCTTATACTGCCCTCTGTATTGAGGAAGAGAGTGGTTTTGGCGAAGACGACCCACATCGCCTCCGTCCTGATTGCTTTGGAGATCTGGAGGATATTAAAACGACCTGCTCCAGATTTAGCCTTGGCGCCATGCTTGGGACATAGCTCGAGCATCCGCTTGGTTGTTCCAGGGTGGCAGCACTCCTTGACTACGACAGGCTCGTCGATATCGAATGCGAGGCCATATATGTCTTGTCGTAACTCCATGGGGATCCTATCGAGGGCTCCGAAGCCACCTTGCTCCTGCCCATCTGATGCGCTCGAAATGGCTTGGCATTTCTTGGGAGAAGCGTAGGCGTTGTACCCAGGGATCGGGCTTGGAGATCTTGATAGTGTGGTCAGCTCCGAGATGTCCGTCAGTGCTGGCGATGCAGCTCGGTGTCTATCGGAACAGTCAGTTTCCATGCTTTCGGTCATGTTTTCCCTGGTGCCTGCAAAAGAGGTTCGCGGCGATGAGGTTGTGGTAGGGAAAGAGAAGGTAGGCAGCAGCAAGTAAAAGAGGAACGGGAAGACATGTGGTGCAGGGTCGATGTTCTGGTATTCTGCCTTCACCGCGACAGGAGAACGTTGCTTTTTCAGGTGATCGAAAGCTGGTCACAAGATCGCGGTTCACCCAGGATTTTTATGCTCGTGGCAATGCTTCAGTCCACGGGCTCGATGCGATTGGTTATCAAAATGGTAGCCGTAGCCAGAAGGACACGATGTAAGTACGTAGTTTCACTGTTATTGTCATCCTGTTATATCTCAGCCGCCTTCTCCAAATTATAATCGCCGCTCTTTGCAAGGTCTCCTTCTCAGACCAAGTAGCCTTGTTTGATCGCTCATTTTCCACGTTGTCTCGTCGACGTCATCAACGCGTCCCCGTCCGTTTGCCAGGCAACCATCTGGTAACACCGCGCTAGTCGCAAACGCTCTTGTTGTTCTGATCTCCAGTGCTGCGTATTCATTTTTTTCGATCAGTCACACCCGCTACGAGACCAGTAAGTACTAATTTCCCTAACAAGTTAATGAATCGAGCGTTCTTTCATTTGCGATACTTTTCAGTCAGGCGTTTCAAATCTTGGTTTGTGACAGCGAACGCCAGAACTTGTTCTGTAGCGCAGTGGGAGTCGATTTTTACGAATTTATTCTGTGCTAACGTAGAACAAATCTCTTACGATCAGGCTATGGTTTACTCAAATGCATACTATAGAAACCAGCCTCTTCGTAATGCGCGCACACAAGCTGACACTCATCAAGATCGACGATCAAGATGGCGAAACTCTCCGATAACACCACTTCAGTCATGCACGCTCAAACACAGAGTCCGCTGTTCCAGCTGCCCGGAGAAATCCGCAACAGGATCTACTACTACGCACTTGACATGTGCTTCATACATTCTTCACGCCGATCGGCACAAAGCACCTCCGCGCCCGGTTCCATCAATCTACAAGGACATCTGGAGCAACACCAATCTTCTACGACCCTCTTGCTCGCCTGCAAAGCAATATGCCAAGAGGCCGAATCTCTATTCGCAGAACTCACTCCCGCAGAGGTTGATCTCCAGGTCACAAAGCGACTCAGCCGAACTGCAAAACGCACACTAAACTCGTTCATGCGGGTCGTCATACAGTACCCAGTCGAGAACGAGAGAAGGAAGCGAGAAGGCAGAAGCTCGGCCAAAGTGACCACCAGACAGTTAGGTTGGGAGCTGTTCAAAGCTCTCAAGCTATATACACGCGAATCGGCAAATCTTTGCCAAAACCGAGATATGCGTCGAGAGGCTACAGTCCATTATGGATTGCGCTGGCCAAGTCGCTTCCAGTTCGCCGGGGCCATCAAGAGAATGGCCAAGGACAGGTATACGTACTGGGCAGTCGAAATCCAGTACGAGTACTACGACACTGGAGATGTTTCAGAACTTCGAGAACTACGCTACATTGCTTGGGCGAGAGATGAGGTGGAGAAACTGGGCAAGCGGATTCGGTTCTTCGTCACGATCTTTCATGGTGGCCCTGCCAAGAGAACTTTCCCTCTGCTAGAGGCTGTTCTTGGCTATCGAGGCATTGGGGAGGGTGAGATGCTGGATTCTGTGTTGGTGGGTGAGAACTGGTGGTCTGTGGAGTTGAGCCTCTGAGTTCGAGGCAGGAGGATACGTGGTCAGAACACCTTGACCAGGTTGCATGTATGATGAAGATGTATGTACCAAGTGCTCGGTTTGGACGTGTGATATGAGATAGGTGAACTACATGTATGCGGCAAACGCACTGCTCAGGTATCCTGGGGCCGTCGAATCATGATTGTAGTCCATACAGGTACTTGACAAGTTCTGCTGACGTGACGGTAGTGTTACGTATCCAGCTAATCATGCTAAGCTAGGCGCAGGACGAGAACTTATCTCGTGAAAGATTGGAACTGGTCTATGCTCCTTTTGGCGCGTTTGGAGAAGATGACTGAGCAAGATACTTACTGGGAAAGGATAGTGAAGGAGCTGATAAGGGGTCAGTGCATAGTAAAGTCACAAGACGAGCCTACCACACACAGATCAAATAGCCTTGCAGTTGGCTTATAGTGAGTATTGTTCATGGATCAATAACGGTATAAACTCATCTGTAAAGGATAAAAAGTCCCCGTCAAAGTCGTCAGGTGGCCGTTAGCCCCTGTGTCAATCACGAGGTCTTCCCTCGCCCCTCTCCTTTGGTAGATCGTCTCCTCTGTATTATATATTCCTCCTTTACTACATTTGACTCTTTCCTTTTCCCGTATCCTTCCTGTCATATCTTTGTACTGTGTAGATTATACTCCCATATCCTAGACTTCGTCTCCCGTATACCTCACCTCAACCGATTGAACGGCTAGAAGCGATGAAGTTCCTCTACTCCAGCTTATTTGCAGCGTTCGCGTTGGCTACTGGTGCCCTGGCTCTTCCAGGTGCATCAAATTCGGCCTCCTCCTCGCCTCAAGTCCAAGTCAACTTGGAAATGGCGGGCAACACCAATGTCAAGATATCGATCAAGAACATCGGATTCGAGCCTTTGCGTCTAGTCAAAGTTGATGGTCTTCTAAGCGACTTGGCCGTCGACAAGGTCACTGTCGTAAAAGATGGTAGGTCGCTTCCGATGCACGGCGGAGCAGATACTAATGCATTCATTGTACAGGCAACAAGCTACCTTTCTACGGTATCCATGTTGACATCGACCTCACTGCGCTGGAGGACTCTTCATTCCAGGTTTTGTCACCCTCGGAGACGGTCGACAAGCACTTCGATATCGCCCATGTTTACGATCTTGGCGCTGGCGGTATGATCGATTTGGTGTCTCAAGGCACCTTCCTCTATGCGACCTCTGGATCACTGGCTGTAGAGACCATCTACTTCATCTCGAACACTCTTACCGTCAACATCGATGGATCTGAAGCAGCCGCGACCCGTCAGACTTGGCTCTCGAGCGTATGGAATGCGGAATTCAACCTCCAAGGCGGATGCACCCACGAACAGTACGACATTCTAGACCAAAGTCGCAGTCTGTGCTCAGATCGCGCCTATTCCGCATGGCAGAACTCGCTTTCCGACGCTGGCAATCACACGAGGATCATGGAGTTCTTCAAGGACGACACTGAGCAGATTCGCAAGAAGCTCAACGACGGCTTTCTCGCCATGGGATCTGAATGTCGGAACATGAACGAGGGTCGTGTCAAGATCTTTTGCAACAACCTCGATGGCTGTGAACCGGGTGTATTGGGCATGACTGTGTGGGCTGGCGAGGAACTTCACGTCAGGTTCTGCCCATTTTGGTTCGATGCGTGGTACCAGATCGATCATCCAGAATGTCATGAAGGCGACAAGACCAAGACGATGACGCATGAGCTCTCTCATGCATTGTTCAGCGTCGGAGATGTCAAATACGGATATGACAACTTTATCACGCTCAACTCCACGGATAACCTCAACAACGCGGACACTTATGCATTCTTTGCTAAAGGTAAGCTATCTCACGGAAGCCTTCTCTATAAATTCTGAACCAACCGCTAACATCATACAAAGCTTCCCACAACAATTGTTGAGTTTGGAAGATCTTCACATTCGCGGCTTGTTGGAAAAAGAGTAGGATGTGATGATACAAATGGGGTTACGGGAAGTCCAGCCGTATGAGCGTTTACTAGTGATATCCGCACGGCGGTGTGAGAATTGGTATTATAGGGTCTCTACGTAGCCTAAACCCATGACAAGGATCTTAGACCTTAATCTTACCTAGCGCCTCGACGTCGGTGAATGCATTGACCAGGGCAAAGTACACCCCGCTTTCTGTCTTGATCACCTACCATTGCGGAGACTCTGAATATCACGAGCTGCAAATATCTCGTGCTTGCGGGTCTGTACCTCGCCACACACAAGATTGGCGAGTCAACAAGTCTTTCGGTATAACCCTCGCCATTACTGCAACTACAACATTTCGCAACCGGACGTATCCCGCCATGGAGCTACTCGATCTTCCAACCGAAATCTTCGAATGCGTCATGGCGCACTACGTCAATGGGGAAGGCATCCGACGAGCCTGGCTTCGTCGTAGTGTGTGCAGTAATCGATCATGTCACCACTCATGACGGACAGCATTGCTAACGACTGCAGGAACTTTCAACGACCACATCAAAACAAAGGTGCTTGCCAAGCAGCCTGCCTCAGCCTATTGGAACCTGGGTAAGCGCGAGTCGGCGTTTTTGCGAAACATACTCAGACCCTTCCTCGAGCACCGAGTGGTCGCATTGTACGGCGCCAATCACGTTCTCCCCACGCACATCAACAAGATTGTCGACGTTCTCGTTAACGTCAGCGGTGATACCTCGCCTGAAAAGCGCTCTGTTTGGGTCCGCGGTGTAATCGGCGCTCTGATTAAAACCCCGAATATCTGCAAGCTCGCCTATAACCCGAGTAACAAAAGCAGGAGCAGGGTAATGTCGTCGTCGGGGCGTCAAGAGGCTCTGAGTGTCGCGGTCATCATGGGCAAAAGGGACACTGTCTGCGCACTTACTACCGAGCAGGGTGCCATGTGGACAAAGTGCTCGACAGGATCTGAGCTGGTTTGTGCGCTAGACTTGGCCGTGCAAAATGATGACCTCGATCTTGTTGAGGTCCTACTATCTCATACCCAGCGATCAACTGTGAGCGAGGTCATGAAAGTACAAACCGTCGCGGTCGTAAGAGGCATTACGCATGCTGTTCGCAGCAATGAGCCCATCGCCCTGGCTTTACTCGAATGGTACATCTCGAATGCCAAGCACAAGGAGATACGTCACCTAGGGGACTGGTTCGAAGAAGCCTGCGCATCTGAATTGATGAGCTTCCTAGGTAGGCTGATCGCACTGTCCACGCCAACTATGCGAAAAGAATTCAGAAAGAGGTTCCTCACGATAGCCGAACCGTGTTCCAACGTATATAGCAGGCGCCATCGTTTCCATCCTCAGCTCTTCCGTGTTCTGGTATCCTTCTTGTTGGATGCCGGTTTGTTTGACCGCAGCAACATGAACTCATCCGAATGGACAGAGCGCGCTCATTTCCACGGTTTGATTAACACTGCGGTACGGAGAGGAGACTTGAATGCACTTGAGCGCGTCATGGCGGCCAGCGCAAATTCTGATCGCCTACGCCCCGATGCCAAGGGTCTGTCAACTTCTCTGCGCCACGCTACTCAACAATGCCGTTTCGATATCTGCAAGTTGTTGATAGATCACGGCGCGAATCCTGATCTCAATCTTGGTACTCAACACCCGAAATAGATCCGTCTTTCGAAATTCGGTAAGTTTCGCTTTTCTTCGCTCAGAGCAGTTCATTCTCAGGAGATGGCGTACCTGAATCGATTATTTCGTGTCACCTTGACGTTCCATGCTTACCAGTAGTAATGCAGCGAAGAGACTTATACATTCATGTGGTGGATACGGGTAAAATGGCTGTGGAGAAGTCGGCTGCGGGTAAACGAAGGAACGATGGACATGTGCCCAGGTGTGGCCAGATTCGCAGGGTCCAGGAACGAGGCCTTTGCCTACTACGTGGTAACCTGGGTAGATGACGGAAAAGAATTGAAATGATTAATGAGCCATCCGAGCTCCTGCACGCTTCTAGTTGAATGCGCTAATGATGGTGTTGGGCGCGCTGAGAAGTGAGGTTTGTCGGTTGGTGTGGCTTCGGGGGGAAAGCCCGCCATGGAGCCGTCGCGACCGAAGCTAACCTGAATGGTGTCGAACACGTGATAATCTTGAACATCGGGTCATGTGAAGGCTACGCAGTGTGCGCTTTCGCGATGTATCCGACCCTTGGTTTGTGTCCAAGACACTGAAGTCGTATTCTAAAGGTATGTTGGCATCCTTGGGTGCAATTTTGGACGGGTTGTGGGCCGATGCGCTGTTGTGGAATTGAGCTAATGGGACGCCTAACCTGGGCTTTCCCTGCCACCCTGCGTCAGCTGCTCCTTCTTAGTCACTCTGACTGCAACCTCACTTCAGGAACGCAACCTGAGCAGGCTGCTGTTCAAAACACAACGTATGGGGAGGAAACCAGCAGAGTGCAGAAGTCATGCCGGCAAGTATCCTTGTTCATTCATCATCTATCCAATATCGGAACGCCGTGTCTCTGGTATATCGCCCTTCACTTTCCCGCCTTCACAGATCCCAACCATAACTTCTTCGACACTGTTGAACCAACCGAATTGGTTCGATCAGCAGCCACCGTCATTAGGGTCAGACCTACAATCCCACGGCGTTAGCTCTCGTCCTCATCGCACAGTTTGCGACATGTACACAGCAGCCACTTACTTGAAAAACCAGTCAGCGACCGTCTGAGTGCCGCCCAATGGACAGTTGTTGATATTTTCTTTAAGTCGCCTTTTGCAGTCTTCTACAGCCAAGGTATGTCCTCCGCTGCTACCCTTCCATCCCACCTCGTAGTTCATCTTGATGCCATTGCACCTGGCCGGGGCGCACGCTGTCTTCGTTTGGCGATAGTTGAAATATCCCGCGAGGGTTAATGATTTACACAGGTCGTCAGCAGCATCAAGGAACGAATTCTTGTTGCAGTCGTTGAGGTAGGGCTTGCCGCTGCCATAGCAGCCGGCCATGGTGCTGGTGGCCGAAGCCAAAGCGATGAGAGGAATAGAGAGCTTCATCGTGGAGAGTTTGATGAGAAGAGAGGCAAATTCGAGTGTGGTGGTGTTGTTGTTGTTGTTATTGACTTGATGAGGATAAAGAGAGATGGAACAAAGAAGAAAAGCTGCTGGCTTTATACGTCAGGCGCCTGACTCCGACTGGAACGTGCTGTTTCTACCTGTCTTTCACTCGGATTGCGCGCATATCGACCGTCGCAAGAGCGAGGCTGGAATCCTGCCTGGTCGTGATCCTACACGGGAAGATGTAGATTGCGGGAAGTATGAGCCAATCTGCGTACGGGCAACTCTTGTGAAGGATTGCGCTAATCGTGGGCGTACGAGAGAACTGGGACTGTAGGATTGGAAAAAGACTTGTTCTCCGATGAATGTTTCTCAGCCAAGTATCGGGCGTAAGATAGTTCAATACACCAAGGTGTAGCTGCGGGCCAAATTACGCCCTGGTGGAGTAGCCTCCACCCAGAATCCTTTCCAATCCGCTATAACCGGATCTTAAATGTGTAAACACGAGAGACCTGCTTAATGCGGGAAGAACCGACGCTACGAGAGGCTGAAGAGCAAGGATGTGAATAAACGAGCCGGGTTTTACCAGTATAGGCTATATCTCCACGAGGCGGACCTGCAGATTTTTGCACCAACCTGATGGCCAGGTAGCATTCTACCAATTGTATTCTGGACCCTGGAGGTTACATTAGCGCAATTTCTGCCTGAATGGGAGGACATTGAGTGTCGCGTAGCTGTCAACACCGTTCAGACTTACGCCGATTTACCGGTCCCGCGGCTTGAACACCTCCACCAAGTTTGATATATGTAATGCTCGGCGCATCGGTTTAGTGGAGCACATGGGCTATGCACATGAATATCGTTATGAAGAGATGTCTTCATATCAGTAATCGCAAAGCGGTTCTCAGCGCAGGACGCCTGAAGCTACGATCATGCGCTTTTTGCATCTAGTCGTAGTCGAGAAATCCGCTCAGAACTTCCAAGCCGCTCATAGCGCGACATTCGACTTGGGGATAGCGCGTGAGCTCCTGTGGGCTTGGTCTAACACATTGACAATGATCTTCTCTGAGTCGCTTTGTGCCTGCATCTCAGGGGCCATTGAGACTTTGCTTTTACTCCTGGTATCCTCGTGGTGGTCTTCCAAAAGGGTTGGGTGCCTCTGAATGGATTATTGGGATGGTTGCCTGGTCCTTCGTGAACAAATCACGGCGTCGGTAAGAAGAAACTCTTCATCGGTGGTTGATGGGTGACCAAGTCTGCAGCATCGTGACCTAGAGAAATGCGGTGACCACTTCCTCCTCTTACTGTACTCTTTTCCATTTCCTAACATCCTCATGGGTGGGTAAAGCAGGCCTGGGGGAGCGACAGAGGACCACCCTCACTTCACTGTCGGAACACAGATACCTTGCCCTACCCTGAGATTCCCACAATCCACACCCTGATTCCCTCTTAAGCCCAGCAAACCATCAACACTCAACCCATTCGCCTCCGCAATCGCCCAACACGTATCACCCCTCTCAACCCGCACCTGGCGCTCCCCATCCCCACAGCCAGCAACAACCGTATCAGCCCCATCACTCCTATTCACGAGCTTAAACACTAAGAACAGAAATACCAGCACCAGCAGCGCAAACGGCAACATCATACGCACAGCGCTTCTATTGCCTTCTTCTATCATCTCATCCTGCTCGCGTCGTTGCTCGTCGGACGGAGGCTGCGAGTGTTCGCCCGTGGCGCGTAGCTCGCCGTAGCGATTGCCCGGTTCGGATTCGTAGATGCGGCCGGATGCGTCGCGGAAGGTGTAGGTTTGGGTGTCGGCGTCGTAACCTATGCGCTCGAAGCCGGAGGGGAGGCGCTCGGCGTCCTGGGGGTTGTGTTAGTGGTCTGGTTTGGCAGGGGGTGTACAAGGGAGGTTACGCTGTCCATGTCTGTCCAGCGACCCATCTTGAGAGGGCTGGGCTAGGTAGGGTAAGTTGTGAGGGTAAGTAAGATGCTGATTGCGATGTGCCAGGGAGGTTGGTGGTTCTCTGGAGAGTTACGAATGCGCGGCTATGATGTCGCTGATTGTCGAATTACTATATGAATTCAAGTATCATAGAAGCTGATCGTTCGCAAGCCAGTTGCGCAGGAAGCGAAGTTGGACGCAGGAGGGTACGTCGTACGCTGTGACGCGTGGCGGCGGCGCGGAAGAGACATGACGACGCGGGATGTGGGGCCTTTCCGTGGCGTCCACGGGTGGATCTACAGCGTGCATCGGGCTGGGCTAATGGGCGGTCATGACTGCTTCGCACACATCGCAGCCAACTCACGGTATATAATGTCAGTGCAAGCTCACAGGACCACTTATGGCATGATGTTTATCTGGAGCAGACTTTCTGCTGTATTCTACATGCACCTTTTGAACTGTATAGCAAAAGGCGGATGCTACGGCGAGTCGCATGCTCATAGGGTGACGAACGCGCACACCCACTAGTGTATACCATCAACCTTAACCTTCACTTACATCTTTCTTGCTCATCCCAGATGTCCTGAAGCAGTCTTGCCGTCTTCACACTGTGGTTCGCAGCCATATTCCAAATGCCATTGCGCTCAGAGCTTCTCTTCGGCACCACAGCACCATAAGCCAGCAATAGCACCACCATATCGATATGTCCTCCCTTGAGTGCATACCACAGCACTGGCGTAGATGAGACGTAGTTTTCCTTCCCTGGTTTGATCTGTACACCACTGCGGATGAGCAGTCTGGTAGCCACAAGCCAGCCATTCTCCACCGCCACTGTAAGACCCTGCCATAGTTCGTTAGAGCCGATATAACCCTTTTCATGATTACGAATTGCGCATCTCAAGGTGGGATCAGCTTGGAGCAGGTACTGAATGATGTACGCGTGGCCGTATCGACAGGCTGAGTGGAAGGGCGTTGGCTCCAGTCGGCGTATGTAATTGATTGCATCCTCGGGATAGTAACTGAATCGTAGTACGTCCATTTCACCATTTCGAACTGCCCAGTCGATCCAGCCTCGCTTTGCTTCCCTGATCAATCTTCCAGAGTAGCAATACTTCAGGTACCAGGACATGAGTGTAGGAAGTATAGTAGTACGTTGCTCGAACATGCACGCGTTGATCGCGTTGTGCAGTTGTTTGCGCTTGTAGAAGCGTTTTTCCATACGCTCATAAACGAAAGAAGCGGAGTAAAGATGCCCATTGACCGCGGCGGCGGTAAGCGGCGTGCCGTACAGCTCGCTACATAGACCTACGTCGCATACCTTGCCAACAAGGAAACGAAGGGCAGGTTCACTATTGACAGCAGCGGCAGCAGCGAGCATTCCCACTGTATCTGCGCGTCCCATATTCTTCCTGACCTTGACCGAGTCATCGAATGGTCCCTGGCAGAGATATGCGAGAATGTCGTCTACCGAGAGTGCCGCTGACATGGCGTTACAGAGGGCCAGGCGGTAGCGTTCGCGCTGCGCTTGCGATTGATAATATGAGAATTCCATGAGAAAATTGACCGTGGCTTCCATGTGATCAAGAATGTACGTCGAGCGGCAGCGGGTGGGGCCCATCTTGGAGAGGACAGTGTACATATTTGGTGCGAGTAGACGCTGCTTGCGGTCGTCACTGAAGCTGCAGTAGAAACTTGCGGAGTATCGACCAAACATATCGTCGTGTATGGCGACCGCAAAGGCTTTGCAGACATATCGTGCGCGAACTGCCACAGCCCATCCGCGGCCATTGTACAGGTAATCATGCAGGTAGTTGTGTATGATAGCAGCGAAAATTTCTGCTGGGAGATCAAGTAAGTTCATGATGTGTCCGGAAGGTGAAGAGCTCATGGTGCAAGGCTTTGCGACTGAGTTGTACTCATCGTTGCGCTGCCAAGCAATTTGCGCGTTTGCAATCCACGGGTATCAAGTCGCGTAGTCATCTGACTCCAAGTGCAGCATTGACGCGCTGTTGCTGCGAACAGCTTTCAATCTTTGATCTTGCACTCGAAAAGATGTCCACAGAGATGCCATGTGGACTGGTATCTCAAGTAGTATCGCCAGAGCGACTATGTCTTCCAAGTGAACTACCAGAGGGTCTTCATGGTAGCGAGACCCACAACCAGATATTAGTACAGAAATCTCCGAATCAACAGGTTCCTATTGAAGAAGTCAATTGCCTACATTGCAAAAATGGCGTCAGTTGAGGCATAATAGAACTGATAGTAATAGCTCCAAGGAATGCCTCAAGCTTTTGTTGCTGCATGCCCAGGTAGTACAAGAACGCTAAGCGTTCGGGGATAAGGGAGGTGACAAACGGTCTGCGTTGGCGAGGCTATCCGTCTCGGCATGATCCCTGCATCGTGAGGCGTCGTGTGCAGTCTAGATTGGGAGCCTGCACGTTCTGATGGCAGAGTGGATGTCAGGAGGCGCGGCGCTCTGTGATTGATGTCAACGATCAGCGGCGTCTGTATTGATGATGATGACCGTGCGGGGAAAAGCCGACGTTGGCGGCTTCCTAGTCGTCGCCTCGCGCTTTCCAATTCCCAGACCGTGTCAGGGATGCTACGATAACGCGTGGTAGGCGCACCTTCCCACCTAAGTTTCATCATTTACATCCCATGACATACAGACTCTATGAAGGACGCGTTTGATGATTGCATCTTTCAGCCACCTTCTAGACTCGTCGCGCGCAAACAAGAACCTGAGAAAGCCGTAGCGCGCCACTGAGGCTGTGCGCGCCGTCCACGTGTAGCAGCCAATCTGGCTGATCGACGTCATTCGCTCGACTTCCGGTATCCACCTGCATACTAAGCACGTACCAAGCCGGGTCAAGCTTGCCGAGCATTGATAAGGAAGGCGGTGGCCGCGCCTCACTTACTTGGCCACACTTCTACCACCGCCCCAAGTACATCTTTGTACTCAACCACCCCCAAACTCTACAACACCAAAACCGATGGGAGAACCCGACGACCCCTCTATACGCAGCTTCAAGTCTAAGGCAGCATCTGCACTTGGCTTGGGACGCAAGAAAGACACGCAGACCGACGTCCTTCCGACCCACAACCCCCACACGACCGCCCATCCTGGCCTAGATGGCAGCAACCCGTCGCGTAGTGCACATGGCACGAGCGACCACAGCGAGAAGCCCGTTGCCAGCGATAATAGCTCCACAGACATCGACAATGGCAGCGTCAATACCGCGCCCGATGGAACGACGCCTCCCGCCATAGGATCCGAGAAGCGTCCGTTCTACTCGCTCGTGCGTGTCAAGAACGGCAGCCTCCGATTCATGTCCCACACCAAGAATGCCATCACACACAGCTGGATCAACCTCCTGCTCGTCTTCGTGCCTCTTGGCATTGTAGTCAAGCTCGTGCACCTGAAGCCCGAAATTGTCTTCTCCATGAACGCCATCGCCATCATTCCGCTGGCTGGCCTGCTCGCGCACGCGACCGAAGTTGTCGCTGCCCGTGTTGGAGATGCGCTCGGTGCACTGCTTAACGTATCCTTTGGAAACGCTGTCGAGTTGATTCTCTTCATCATCTTGCTCGCCTCTGACCAGATCGAGGTCGTGCAAGCGTCTCTACTTGGATCCATTCTTGCCAACCTGCTGCTCATTTTGGGCATGGCATTCTTACTCGGTGGTTTGAAGTACCAAGAGCAGGTCTACAACAATACCGTCACTCAGATGAGCGGTGTTATGCTGGCCCTCGCCGTAATGAGTCTTCTGCTACCCACTGCCTTCCACGCTGCTTTCGAGAACAACGCTATCGCCGACCACGAGACATTGTCTGTCAGTCGTGGAACCAGCGTCATCCTCCTCCTAGTTTACGGCCTGTACCTAGTCTTCCAGCTCAAGAGTCATCGTTATCTCTACGCTAGCACTCCCCAACATATCATTGACGAAGAGTCACACCCCGGTGTCCTTGCCGGTGCTTTTGACTCGTCCAGCTCCGACTCTTCATCCAGCTCCAGCAGTAGCGACAGCGACAGCTCCTCCAAGAACTCTGATGGCACCATGAAGAAGAAGGCCAAGCGTATGGTGAAGCGGCTTCGCCGCAAGTCCAGCGCTAGCTCCAAAGACGCAGATGCGCTCTCGGCCCTCAATTCGCCAGAGGGTGAGCTACACCAGAGTCCTTTCGACTCGGAGAGAACCAACAGCGTCGCCACTGCCAACAACGCAGCTCCTATTACTTCTCGTCGACACTCATTCGACGTCATGAGTGGTGACGAGGCTGATAACGATCAATACGTCCCAGTCGTTCGTGACTTTGAAGCCGCTTCGCAAACTTCGCGCTCGGTGACGAAGAAGGAAAAGCGTAGGCACAAGAAGAGCAAGAAGGACCGCCGTGATCGCAACAAGGTCGACACCATTCCCGAAAAGGAGGTCGTGCGGAATGAGCCCACGCCCAAGGTTACCTTCGCTGAGGAAGTACAGAACGACAGTGCCGCTACTATGAATTCGAATCCTCGCAGATACAACCGGCCTGCTCTTCCTTCGCTACTCTCCAACAATGTCTTCTCGAATCCTCAGAACCTCGCTCCACTGGGCGGTCCCGCGCCCAATATTCGTATGGCAGCACCTCGCGACAACACAGCTCTGCGTGCACCCCTTCGTCGATCCAAGTCCCTCCCGGATCAAATCGGCCGCGCCGACTCTACCGGCAACGCAGTGAAACATCCTGCTGTCTCTCCACAGGCCGCCATGGCCCTCAACGAGGATGACGAAGACGATGAAGCACCTGACATGTCCATCAAAGCTGCTATCTTCATGCTTCTGATTAGCACTGGTCTCGTTGCTGTCTGCGCCGACTTCATGAGTGAAGCCATCGAGCCCATGGTTGAGAGTTCTGGTATCAGCCAAGCGTTTATCGGTCTTATCATTCTTCCTATCGTTGGTAACGCTGCAGAGCATGTCACTGCAGTCACTGTCGCGATGAAGAACAAAATGGATCTTTCTATCGGTATTGCTGTCGGCTCTTCCATCCAGATCGCCATCTTCATCACACCTGTTATTGTTATCCTCGGTTGGATCATGGGCAAGGAGATGACACTGTACTTCAACATCTTCGAGACTGTTGCACTATTCGTCACAGTCCTGGTGGTGAACTTCTTGGTACTGGATGGTCGCAGTAACTATCTGGAGGGTAGTTTACTGATCGCTGCCTATATCATCATCGCGCTGGCCAGTTTCTTCTACCCTGACGGCTGTGAGGCCAGTGCCATTGGTGGTAACGAGGACCGCTGCAACAACGGCGAGGTTGCTCGGTTGGCGCAGGGCATGGTTAAAAGGATGATTGGCATGTAGGGCCAACATCGATAGTCAAGAACCTTGAAGCCTGAGTAATATCAGATTTCAGCATGAGTTCTTGGTCTTTGCTATTGCTTTGCGATCATACGGTTGAGTGGCATGGTGTGATGTCCGCTCCCGTACAGAGACTTTCCAGCGTGTCTCATTTCTTTCTATTACGATAGCATACAGTCCTTACAGACACCTAATAGCTCATCACCTCAGAGGTCCTCAAATTGACACACAATACCGGCTCCTCAAACGGAGCCTGCCTCACATTCTTGCCCGTGTTATTTTTTGCGTGTGATAGAAAGTGCTTGTTCGTGGCATTCGTTGATCTAAAGCACGTCTTCTAAGAGAGCAAAAAACGCAAAAGGTAAACTAAATATCTAAATAAAATATTTTATTTAATATAAGTTATTTAGCTACTAGTCTAACTAGTAATATTAGATTTTATACTTAGTCTACTTATCTATACTAATAGTATCTATATACTTACTTATAGTAGTATATATTACTTAATTATATATATATAATTTTAGATTATAATATAGATATAGTAATACTTTACTTAAGTTAATACTTCTATACTTTTTTTTATTTATTATATAAAGTTTTTAAAGTATACTACTTTAGCTTAGATTTAATCTATTTTAAAATAATTTATACTTAAAATATTAGTATTAGCTTTATACTTAATATATATACTTTATATACTAGTATAGTATTTTAGAAATATAATTATTTACTATATAAAAGTAAAATAATAAAGTAAAATATTAGTATTAGTATAGACTTTTATGTAAAAGTCTTTACTTTATAACTTACTTTTTAAACTAATAAAATTAGCTTTAATATAAATAATACTAAGTTAAAAAATAAAAAGTTATATAGTTAAAGATAATTATATATAAAAATATAAAAGAAGTTAATAAAAATAGCTAAAAGTAGTAAAATAGAATTTTATACTACTTATAGGCTTTTTAAAATCTTACTTATAGTTATTATAACTATTTAAGTTACTACTATACTATAGTTATTAACTAAATTTTTTTACTATTTTATAATACTAAGTACTACTTACTTATTTAAAAAGTAATATTATAATACTAAACTACTATTTTAATACTAAAAAAATAATTAGTAATTATATATAATTTATATAATAAACGCGTAGTAAGATAAGTAATCTAAAGTACTTATTACTAATATAAGAAAAACTAAAGATACTTCTTTTTCTCTAGACTTAAGAGATAAAGTCTATAGTATACTTTTTTTAAAATTAAATAATTATATAATTATATAATTATATAATTACGTAATAATATATTACTATATTAAACCTAATAGTAAACTTAAAAATCTCTAATATAAGCCTAGATTTATAACTTATAATACTTATAACTATACTACTTCTACTACTAATATAATAGTTACTATATATATATTAGGTTCTAGCTCTAAAGAGTTTAGGCTAACTTAGCACTAGCTATAAATACCTTAGAATTACTATTATAGCTTAGTAGTAATTTATTTCTAGTCTTTTTAGAATAATATA